TTAGAATTTCTGACTAGCTACCTGCACCAGGCTTGTCCCAGTCATTTCAATAAACTTTCAGCAATACATTTTATACAGTTAAGGAATTTGGAGCTTACTTATGTTATAGCCAAGTTTTCTATGTTTGTTTGTTGGTTTGTTTTTTCCCAACCCGGCAGATGAAGAACCTGAGGTTTGGAGAAATGAATTAATGTGTTCAAGGTCAAAGAATAAATGAAAGAGCCAAGAGCCGTGTTTTCTGGGGTCAGCGCCAGGATCATTTGCACAGCGCATACTTTCTCCCATGGACAGAACATGGGGGAGGCATTCATTTGCTTTTGTTTTTGTTTTTCGGAATATATCTTTCAAAAATATGTCTTCCAGATTTTTCTGAAGTTAAATTTGAACTGTCTTTGGAGGTGCTTCTCTCCAAGTCTGTTTAAGAAATGTAGCACAAGGGTGAGCCCCTCTTCTCAGTTGCCATGGCAGTTATATAACAGTTGTCAACGACACTAGAAGTGTTTTGTGGTTGATTAGACACAAAGGGTGCAGCGTTTCACATGCCACCCTCTTTGTCCTGAAAAGAAAACAGGCCAGTGAGGCAACATGGTCAACGGTGAGTTTCAGATTTACTAATAAAAGTGGCTGTTGAATTCCCCCCCGACATCGGTGCCAATCTGTTGCTGCCATCTTTTCCATGAGTTCAAGTTTGGACCAACCTGGACCCAGCAGAGTTGAGGGGGTTACTTTCCCAGTAGTCACAATGAGAACGTCTGATCCTGACTATTCCATTATCCGTGTTGTCGTTTCGTAGGCATATCTGGGATTCCTGAATTTGTGTTTGGTGTGTTTCCCACAGATAATGTGGCCTGTGAATGGATATTTCCCTGGACAGTGGCATTGGAGGGTGTATGGAATGGGGTGTTAACTGACTTTAGAGGTCTCTCTCTTGGGAGAGTTCTCCTTACCACGGGTTTTTGGTGGGGCCCTGTCCCCAGCATGTACATCAGGCCCCATCTGCCTGTGATGCAGGTGTCTGCATAAGGCTTGTGTAGTCAGGTCACTACCTAGTGTCTCTAATTATGACAGTGACAAGAGAGATAGATAACAAGTTTCTCACCACCTTGGCTGTTCTCCCCACCCCTACCCACCTTCTCAGCGATGATATGGTCAGGAGACTGGGACTAGTTGAAGGGTTTGCTTTTGTTCATCTCTGAGGCCCTTTTTGCCTCTGAAATTCTGAGGTTTTATGAAATATATGCTGAGGACTGACCCTATACCTATGGGATGCTAGTTGATCCAGTGAGTATTACGTACCAGTGAGGAAGTCAAACGAGGTGTCCCTTGTGTGGGGACTTTCACAGGCTTGTTGAGGAGAGGAGCACACTGGAGGACACCACTAGTCACATGTATGGCTGTTGATGCTGTGAGTTTAGGGACAGATCACTGGGGACCAAACAGTTGGAAAAGATCCTAAAAGAAACTGGTCCTGCTTTGGCCTTGTATCTTACCAAGGAAGAGGCAGGAAGATATTGAACCTTGACATTGGCTGAGGAAAAGGGTCCTGCCTCCTGGCATTGTGGGGTTATGCATGACTTGGGCTGATGCCAGGGGGGTGCCCTGCAGGATGTCCCCTCAGTAGATGCTAAATTGTTCTTTTACTGGGAGCCAAATGATGTATTAGTAGTATGCTACTTTTAACCTAAAGTCAGTTATCTAACAAATTCATCCAACCCAGAGCATGAACCAGGAACCAGCACAGAAATTAAAAAGACCTTAGGCTTTGGACTGACATAAACACAACTCGCTGTGCTGCTGCGGGCACCTCTTAACTGGAGCAGAGCTCCTTCCTTGGGTCCCTCGAAGCCTATTTTCTCTATTTGCGCCCGCGTGGAGGGTGTGTGAGAACAGAAAGGTGAGTGTCGGAGGCAGGTAGGGTGACAGCAACTAGGAATGACCTTGATAGCCTACAGTAAGGAAGAGTATAGAGGTGTGCAGACAGCCTCGCATACTCAGATTGCAAGGTGGGGTGTGGGGACAGGTTGCCCCTGCCCTACAGGGTCTGATGTCTTCACTGTGCTCTTTACGTGGCACAGCTCATAATTAAGGTGTGTCGTCATCATCCCGAGTCACCAACAAGACTTACATCCTATATTACAGTTTACTCTCTTAAGGTGAAGAAAGGCATATTGGATTTTAGTCCGAATCTCACAACCATTTTGTTTTTTAAGTTGGGCATTCCAGTTCGTTACTTTCAGTTCTGTGGAGCTTCACACACCCCAGTGTTGCTAGATATGTCAAGTGTGGCCCAGACGGTTTTCAGTAGGCGAGGATGTGCCCCGCTCTCAGATGCATTTCTACGCTTCCTCTGAAGGTCCCTCAGCTCCTGTGTTCACTGGGCAGCCTGGGGGTGGTCAGCCAGGTCCACGGCTGCATCTGAACATTCTGGTGCCTCTGGAGACGGTGGTTCTGGAGGAAGAGAGTCCAGTCTGAACTTTCCCCCTTGTTCTGTGCTTCTGAACAAGGGTTCTCAATCTTTGGGAGGACTGAGACTCACACAGGTAACTTCTGGGGCTCCTGCCCCATGTTACTGGCACCATCCCACCGTAATGATCCCTGAGGGCCACCAGGGATTAGCGTGAGGCAGGCTGTGTGTGCTAGAGGGTGGCAAGGTGTGGGGTACGCACCCCAGCCTGGGCAGACACCCCTTCTTGGGGCAGCCCAGTGCCCTGTCTGTGATTTGTGGGTGTAGAGTTGAGAGACAGGGCCGCCGGGCTCATATCCAGCCTTGCCTCTCCTGCCTTGCAGGCCCCGGCTGAGTTCGTGTGATCCCCTGGGCCCCTCCTTGCGGCTGAACAGAAAAGCCTACACCCAACAGCCACGAGAGGGTTTGCTTTGAAGACGGGCCTGAGAATAACCTCTGGGTTGCCTTTTAACTTTCAAGTGTTCATCAGGGAAATCATTTTCTGCTGGAATCCAAGCGCTTAGAGATGTTTCCATGTCAGGATAGGAGCGTGGGATGGAATATGTTCACCCCAGCGTATCTGTGTTTCCGTGGCTCCTTGTCTCCCCAAGCCCAGGGACTCGGGCAAAGCAGTGCGCCGGGTGCGAAGCAGTAAAGATTCAGTCGAGGGAGTGTTTGTGTGTGTCGGCAGAGAGAGCGCCGTGGTCAGTCTCTGGGTGGAGCGGGAGGTGAAGAAGCACTTGCTTCCTTCCGAGATACCAGAGACAGACAGGCAGGGAGGAGATGGGGCCGTGCTGAGCTGGAGATTCTCTGGGCAAGGCTCTCAGTGGGAGAAAGATTGTGACACACAAACCTCACCTCCGGGACCACTTCACCTCCTCAGGAGGCTGTCCTTGCACTCACCCAGATCCCAGGCCATCAGAAGCTGTCCTCTGCTTCTTGACCCCTGTGTATTCCAGTTAGTTGTCACAGGGCTTCTGTTCCATGTACACGAGCCTAAGGAGACACCCCTTCCATCTTATCTGCATTCCTAGGGCTCAGCAGACGTAGGTACTCAAATATGAAAGTGATGAGTGAGCAACAAAGGAACTGAAGGAGTGGGGCTTTCAAAACGTGGATTTGCTCTTAGGAGTCTAATAGTTCCATGATACAAGGTTGGTCTCGCCGGATTTCCCCAGCCTCACATGGGTGTGTATATCTAGGTTGAAACAAAGCGCCAGCCGAGTGCAGGTCACTGACCCAGGCACTGCTGGGATATAAGTAACACAGCTTTGCCGGGGCTCTGCCCTCAGGGAGGTTAGCTAACTGAGTTCTAGATTGTTTTTTAGACTCTGCATTAAACTCTGGGGGCAGAGTCCCAAGGCGAGCCAAGGGGTGGGTTGGCAAAGTGCCCAGCTGATAGGTTAGGGTCTGTGCTGTCTTGGTGTCAAGTACAGATGCGTGAGCCACTCGGAGAGCCATGGAGCGAAGCACGGTCATCTAGGAATTGTGGTTCCAGTTCCATCGTGGTTCCTGGGCTACTGTAAATAACGCTTGTAAGCTCATCTACTTAGAAGGGAACCAGGAAGGGAAATATAAGGGCAAGATACAAACAACGTGGTGGAGTTTAGCACACTGGTTGTTGGTGGCAGTACGGATGCTGTCCCACAGAGGCCACACCTCACAGGAAAGGAGCATAATTTGGAGGGTTGTCAGCGCAGATTGGAGCCCCAGCCCGGCTGTTCGGTACATGCAGGCTGCTGTGCAGGGCATAGATTTTTGAACCCCCGTTTTCTCACCCTGAATGATTGTGGGGGAACAAATGAGATGAGCTATGGAAAAACCCGCCCTGCATCTAAGACCAAGACCGTGTCCTCTCGCTGAGTATGGGCACCGTCCCTCCCTCCTCTCCACCCTCTTCTCTGCTCCTGTGCCGCTCTCCACGGGGCCAAGCAGGTGCTAGGTTAGAGATCGCCGCAGGGCACGGGGGTGAGCTAGCTGGCCTGGCTAGATGGGATGGAAGGGGGGAGGAGTCAGGATTAGCTCCTATCTGCAGCAGCGTCTTTCACGCGTGCTCTGCCCTGTGTGGTGTAGCTCTGATCTATAGAAAATGAAGAACCCAGCGTTCCTTACACCGGGACACTGAGGTGTATGGGGTACACTGCCTTAGGCCTGAGAGCCTGGGACCCACGCTTTGTTCTTTCCCTTGTTAGCTCGGTCCATTCTCTTGACCGTTTTGGGGTCTTCATTTTCCTCTTTCATAATCTAGGAAAAATGGGAAAGTTGTGTGTACCCTAAACAATTCTAACTTAGAACTTACTCTTTTCTCAACTATTGGCTAGATGGGATATGGCTGATGTGCCTGGGAGAGAGCACAGAAGCCACTTGATGACGGGTCGTAGTTTCATCTTTAAATTCCATCCTGGAGACAGAAGATGTGGTGAAACCCAGTAGCCAGCCTTCTATGGGAGGTTATCCTTGCTTTTGTTACCTGACTCCAAAAGGATTTTTGTTTTTCGCTTAGGACCTACGTATTCAGTGAAGAAGCTTCGCATTAATTTTGCCCTCTTTTCCTCAGTATCCAGCGAGCAGCCTTGGTGGTTCTGGAAAACTACTATAAAGATTTCACCATCTATAACCCCAGCCTCCTAACAGCATCCAAATTCCGAGCAGCCAAGCACATGGCGGGGCTGAAAGTCTACAACGTAGATGGTAGGTGCCTTGAAATGATGTCTGTGGTGGGGGTAGGGAGCAGTTTGGGCAACAATTTAGTTTCAACGTCACAGCCCACTTGGTTCTGCCTCCTCTCAGTGTCTGTCTTTATGGTACAATCTCATTTCAGAACAGTTTCTTCTCTCTCTCTCTCCCCCCACCCCCTCTCCCGGCAAACATATTTGCAGAGGAATGTTGATTTACAGTCTGCATCTGTGGGAGGTTCATTCATTTTGGGATTTTATGATTGAAAACAATAGTGATGTGTATTTCCTGCCTCCTGCTGGGAACATCTTAATGAAAACTATTAGGAAAGGGCTGCTTTTCAAAATTTGGATAAATGACCCCAAAGACTCAGCTACCCAAAACCGTTAAGACTATAACTCTCAGTGGTTCCGGCATCTGGTGAGATACTTAAAGACATTTCTCAATCCTGGCTAGGAGCTGGAGTTGAGTGGGTGGCAGGAGGCCAGAGGCCGGGCTGGGGATGTCAGAGCTGTTTGAGGCTATCAGATGGTTAAGTGCAAGAAACAGGACACGGTGTCATTTCTTGCTGGGCAGCCTGATCAGGGCAAGAGCTTTGCGAACCCTGGAAGAGAGGATCATGTTGTTAGCAAGTCAAGTGATTTATAGAGGGTGTCAATTTGGGGTGGCGATACTCTCCCTGTTTTTGTTTGATTTTGGTTTTTGGTGAATGAGATGTGTACTCTGGTGAATCGAGAAAGATTGGTAAAGTTTGCCTGCGAAAATTCCCACTAACCAAACCAAGTCATTCACCAAGAAGGTGATTTATGAGAAAGCATGAGATTTGCCTTGTCCTCCTGAGAAGCCCAGGTGGCCAGCGGTCAGGGGCCCGAGACCAAGGGCTCCGTCCAAGTCTGTGTTAACAAACGAGCTAATGGCAAGTCCTCAAGTGTCGGTGTTTCCTGTACACGTTGTGGCTGCCGTGACATTGCAGCACGCCTCAGGTCGCTGTGCGTAGTCAGTTTCGCTATGGCCTTGACTTTCCTTTTTCTCTGTCCTCGTTCTCCCATCCCTCTCATTCTCTCTCATTATCTTGTTGCTGAAACGTGACGTTCCAACTGCCCTTACGGCCAACCCGAAACTTTCTGTAACGGATGGTGAGTCACATCTTCATACTCGGTGTGTTACTTTTGGCCGCCATTTTAATTGTCAAGCGTTCTTCATCCCCTTCTGAGTTCCTTTTCTCCATTTCCACGGATCAGATTGGGCTTTAGAGACCTGTCCTTCCTCTCGTGAGCGTATTGACTATGGAGCAGGGGACCCGTTCACCCTCCGGAGAAGTCACTTTGGGGGATTGTGTGCTTCACAGGGGGTGGGTGGGTGGTCCTAACAGACTGTGGAACTAGCATTCAGCTCTGGTTTGCAGCCGCATGGCATTCAAACTGTTCTTCCTCCACTGTCCTTTCCCCAAAGGCCCCAGTAACAATGCCACTGGTCAGTCCCGGGCCATGATTGCTGCAGCTGCTCGGCGCAGGGACTCCAGCCACAATGAGTTGTATTATGAAGAGGCGGACCATGAGCGGAGGGTGAAGAAGCGGAGAGCGAGGTA